CCTGCTTGCTCTGCCCCCTGCCGGCTCCGCACGCCAGATGTCACACCGTTTCCCCGGGAGCCTCCCTGCCTCCTGTCTGCGCCACTCTCCCTTCTCTCTCGTACCCTCGCCTGTCGGGCCACTTTCCCACTCCCCGAAATGATCTTTTGACGCACCCCTGCACTAGCTAGTGATCCACCTCCTCCTTGCCACCCGCAGGCTCATCCCTCTCTCTGGCATCCGCACCCCCTTTGTCAACCTATCCCTTTCCTTTAGGCGACTCTCCAGTATTACATCACATGCCCTTTAGGGAATCCACAGCCCGATTATAGCCTTCATAAATGTGTTCGCCCCCCTCTTCGCGTTAGCTCAAGAGCCAGCTGTGCTAGTTTGTTTATGTAGCTTTTTTTTTTTTTCCAGTTTTCTGAATTTTCACACCACTTCTCATTCTTTTGAGAAATCTGCCAGTTACTATGGTCAGGGTAAAAACCCACTGCTACGATTTTTAATATGGAGTCTTTCATATAAAATTATATGAGCATTCTTTAATGTTTGTTTTTACTAAGTAGCATATGTTTTATTTTTGTGTTTTATATTTTTAAATGTAGGAACTTCATCCTTAAAATTAGAATCATCTGAGAGGAATTACCTAGAAGTAGTAGAGGAAACATGAACAGGTGGCCAGGAGCATTGTTTTAAATTGTTCGTCAAAATAATACTCATGTGTTAACACTGAAGCACACAAGTTTGTAAATTCTAGAAATTAATCACATTAGTCAATTCATGACTGAAAACATCGTTAGTGACCTTTGACTTTTGAATGAAAACAAATTAGTAAAAACAGAGAAAATTGAAGTGAGGGGGAGTCAGTTTTAAGTGTTCCCTTTCTTCCAGTAGAGATAGTGGCAAGGTTTGACTTACAGCAGACCTAATAGATTTAAAACTTGAAACAGACTTTGTCCAAAATTAAGTTTAGCCTGTGTCTTGGCATGCTTGCCTTAGAAGCCTCTCAGAGGAATAAAATTCAGAGATAATCATATTGTGGTATTAGATATGCTTTCAAATTTTTGAATGTCAGCTAAGTTAACATAATTTAGAGAATTTATTGTAAGAACTGCAGTTCTGTCGACAGCAAAAATCTGTACTTACATGCATTTCATATAAAAATTTTATAGTTCTATATGGTTTAATGTCATACATTTGAAAAGATACATGTATATCATTGACCTCATTTGGATCCGAATTCCTTGGGCAAATCCTTAACCTACCCATGCGTTAGTTTCCTCACCTATAGACGGTAATCTCTACCATCTGAGTTTGTGAGAATTAAATACAGCATGTGAAGCGCTAGACAGAATGCCTGTTACATAATAAATACTAAGTGCAAGTTGCCGTTTTCAGTAATGGTGGGATGGTAGAGCCATGAGTGGTCTGTAGTGCTGTTTTTCATGTAAATTATGCAAAATATGATTTTTTCACTTTTTAATACGTAGAGAAGGTAATATTTATAATATTTTAAAAATTTCCTTTTATTCTCACCTACCACTTGAAAGTTAAAGTTAAATATACCTATATCTCTTAAGATAACTATGTCTAAAATGGTACCTGCTGTTTGATTTTTTTTTTTTTTATTTTTTGAGACGGAGTTTTTGCTCTGTTGTCCAGGGTGGAGCGGTGGCACGATGATCTCTGCTCACTGCAACCTCCGCCTCCTGGCTTCAAGCAATTCTTCTGCCTCAGCATCCCGAGTAGCTGGCATTACAGGCTCCTGCCACCAATCCCGGCTAAATTTTGTAATTTTAGTAGAGACAAGGTTTCACCATGTTGGCCAGGTTGGTCTCCAACTCTTGACCTCAGGTGATCTACCCGCTTCAGCCTCCCAAAGTGCTAGGATTATAGGCGTGAGCCACTGCGCCCGGCCTGCTGTTTAATTTTTGAAGGAAAATAAACAATTTTTATCTAAAATAGTAATTTTACCTGCTGTTATGATTTATTTTTGTCCTAACTCTTGGCAACAAAGTAGTAGTGGTGCTTTAATTCCATATAAATGTTACTGTTGTATATGGATGAAGATGACTTAATTAAATTCCTTCCTTTTTTCTGCACAATGTTCCTTGTGGGGAGGAAGAAGTAAGTCTGAATTCTTAGTGCCACCCTCCCACCCCCGGCCATCCAATATCATAAAAGATAGTAGTGACAATGGTATTCTTCTTTCAGCCCACACATTATCTCTTGACTGTGTTTTTGGTCAGGTTAAGCAAATTTTCATCACAATAGAGTTTTTGTTACACATTTTTACCTTATTCCATAATCCGGAAATCAAAGGAATGCTAAAGCTTGGCAAACTTGTTTGATCAGTAACTGAGCCTGGTAGTATGCTGAACTAGGTGGTAGAAAGTAAAATGACACATGGCCCTCATCTTCAAGGACCTTGGGGTGTAAGGGAAAGATGCGTTGATTAGTGGAGATATGTCACATGTGTGTATGGTATACAGATTTTCAGTTATAAAATATATTTTAAGACTTAGTTTTTTTCTACATAATTTAATCCTTTAAGATATTTCAAGAGGTTTTGAGTTCAAACCCTGGTCTAGTATCTTTTGACTTTGAATCATTTCTATTTTCCAAATGACATTTTGACAATTTTAAAAAGAAAGGTTTATTCTGTATTACTTGTTTGCTCTAGTCCTTTTTCCATATCCCAGCATTTCCCTCTATACAATCTTAGTAAACAGCTGTTGAACCTAATTTGATTCTCTTAATTAAAGTGATAGGAAAGTATACCATAGTTTAAAAGGTCAAGAAATAGATAGATTTGGATTAGTTGAAACCTCTGTTCCCACTGGAAGACAAAATAATAGAGTGGATAAAGCATTGGACTTCAGTCAGAAAGTTTTATGTTCCAGCTTTGTATTATGCAGTAAGTGGCCTTGAGCAAGTCACTTAACCTCTTTAGATCTGCTTCATTTATAATTGATATTTTATAGATTTGTGAGATGAGCTTTATAGTTCCATATTTAGCTTACAGTTTTTATCATCTGATGTTTTTAACTTCTTTTCACAATGAAATATTTAGGAGTTATTGGGAAGAGGAAATATTTATGGATTAAGGGGAAATAAAAATTTTTCATTATATGTGCTCAAGAGAAAGGCACAGAGTTAAATGCTAGAATCATGGTAAATTGAAGCATAGAAAGTTAGTAGGAAAAATAAACCAAATTTGAAGAAAGTTTATGTATCCATACTAAGAGTAAGACTGATCATTTGCTGTATGTTAGCCAGTAAATTGCAGTTATTTCAAGTGCACGTTTATATACTCTCTTTAATTTTTGAAATAAATACACTCCACAAAATATCTAGTAGCATTAGTATAGTAGTTTTTGCCTAAGATTTTTTTCTGATTCATCCATGTGTTCTGTTAATAGGGAATGAAATTGTCAAATTAAGACTAGGTTAAAATATATAAGGCTTCTTTTCATTCTTACATATAGTAGCCGTTTGTTTATCCTGTACATTTCAGAACTCAAAACTTTAGGGACAAATACTTTTTAAAAATTCTAACTTCACTGTGGAGTAACCATATTAGTTAATACTGAGTATTTTTAGATA